TTTCTTCTTTAATTTCCTCTGTGACCCATTGGTTATTCAGAAGTGTGTTGTTCAATTTCCATGTGTTTATGAAATTCTTGCAGTTTCTTTTGCTGTTGATCTCCAACTTCATTGCGCTATGGTCTGATAATATACAGGGGATAACTTCAATTCCTTTGCACTTACTTAAACATGTTCTATGAGCAAGTATGTGATCTATTTTCGGGAATGACCCATGTGCGGCCAAAAAGAATGTATATTCTGATTTTGTGGGGTGGAACACTCTGTAAACATCTGTTAAGTTCATTTGTTCAAGAGTTTGATTGAATTCTAGTATTTTGTTGCTTATTTTTTGTCTAGTTGATGTGTCTATTTGTGACAATGTGGTATTGAGGTCCCCTGCTACTATTGTGTTAGTGTTTATTTGAATTTTTATGTCTGTTCATATTTGTTTTATATAGCTGGATGCACTAGTGCTTGGTGCATGTATATTTATGATTGTCATCTCTTCCTCTTGGATTGTTCTCTTTACAAGGATGTAGTGTCCTTTGTCTGTCTTAATCAGTGTTGGTTTGTTAACCACTTGATCTGCAAAGAGAATAGCTACTTCTCCTTTTTTTCAGGTTCGTGTCCCATGGAGTATTGTTTTCCACCCTTTAACTTTCAGTCTATAAGAAGCATTTGATTTTAAAATCTCCAAGTCCCATTAAAATGATAGCTCATAGTATTTGAAATGATAACATAATTATCGAATATTCACTGAGAGCCAGGCACTCTCCTACATTTTATATATAAATGTGTGTCTGTATGTGTGTATATTTTTATTCATTTAATTTTCATGACCGTTTTTTGAGGTTGATACTGTTAACATTTCCATTTTACAGATGAAGACATTGAGGCACTAAGAGGCTGAATAACTTTCCAAGTCTTTCTGCCCATTAGAGGTGAGCCTTGGATTTGGGTATACAACAGCCTCGTCACAGTTTACTCATAAATTTGCACGGCATTGAATCTTTCTATTGTCTTGGGGTGTTCTCTTGGATGGAAATGTTCTAAACTGTGCAAACCTCACCCAAAATTGTAGAAAGTAATTTCATTCATAAGATCTTTGAGCCTCATGTAACAGGTGTGATTCTAGGTACTAGGATGAGGAATAAGGAAGGGAGGGATATGGCCGCATACATGACATCAAGTGGCAAGCAAGGACATTGGGTACTATTTCCAGTTTGCTTTTTGTTCTCTAGGTGAAACATCTTACACGAGACTGGAGAACCACAGCTTATGCCTTGAAATATTCAGTGACCCTGGAGTTGAATGAGGACCACCGGAAGGTGAGGAGGACCACCCCTGTCCCACTCTTCCCCAGTGAGAATCTCCCCAGCAAGATGCTCCTGGTCTATGACCTACACCTGTCACCCAAGCTGTGGGCCCTAAGCACCCCACAGAAGAATGGCAGGGTGCAGGAGAAGGTGATGGAACACCTGCTCAAGCTCTTTGGGACTTTTGGAGTCATCTCATCGGTGCGGATCCTCAAACCAGGGAGAGAGCTGCCCCCAGATATTCGGAGGATCAGCAGCAGGTACAGCCAGGTGGGGACCCAAGAATGTGCCATTGTGGAGTTTGAAGAGGTGGAAGCGGCCATCAAAGCCCACGAATTCATGATCACAGAATCTCAGAGCAAAGAGAACATGAAGGCTGTCCTGATTGGTATGAAGCCACCCAAAAAGAAACCTTCCAAAGATAGGAGCCATGATGAGGAGCCCACTGTGAGCATCCACCTAAACAAGTCCCTCAACAAGCGAGTGGAGGAGCTTCAATACATGGGGGACGAGTCCTCTGCCAACAGCTCCTCCGACCCCGAGAGCAATCCCACCTCCCCGATGGCTGGCCGACGGCACGTGGCCACCAACAAGCTCAGCCCTTCTGGCCACCAAAATCTCTTTCTGAGCCCAAATGCTTCTCCCTGCTCAAGTCCTTGGAGCAGCCCCCTGGCCCAACGCAAAGGTGTTTCCAGAAAATCCCCACTGGCTGAAGACGGTAGACTGAACTCCAGCACAAGTCCCGAGATCTTCCGCAAGTGCACGGATTATTCCTCGGACAGCAGTGCCACTCCTTCTGGCAGCCCCTGGGTGCGGAGGCGCCGCCAAGCCGAGATGGGGACACAGGAGAAGAGCCCGGGGGCGAGCCCCCTGCTGTCTCGGAAGATGCAGAGTGCAGATGGGTTGCCCGTGGGGGTGCTGAGGCTGCCCAGAGGCCCTGACAACACCAGAGGGTTTCATGGGGGACATGAAAGGGGCCGGGCCTGTGTATAAATACCTTCTCTTAAGACCGGCTCCATTGAAAACCACCTTTGTTATCAGGGTTCTCACCAATACCTGGCATGACATAGAATGGAATTCAGTCCCCTTTGAAAAATTTTATATACATGTAGACCTCTTAATTTATATATTTTGTAAGGTGTGCAAATTGTCTAGTATGCCAGGGCTCAGAACACCTGCTCTTCCCAGCGTGGCATTATGTCGATGTCGCCTGACCCAGTATAGTGATTCTCCAGGGCCGTGGAATGGCGGCTCCTGGGGAGAGTCTGGTAATAATGGGTCTCTTTTTGGGGACTGGGTTTTTCCATACAGAGACTGAGCTATCCTTGACAGACTGAGCAAAGGCTAAGAGCCTAGAGGAGTTTTGTTGCTCAACAGCGAATAGTTAAGCCAACAGCATGGTGTCTTACAGGACCATACATATGCTCCCTGTCAAGTGAATAAATAATAAAGCACCCACCGGAAGTGCTGGCTTCCAGGTCATAGACTGTGCCCGACACAGGTCTGTGCACATCTGATGAGGCTGTGGGTGGTGTGTCTTGAGGCCCTAAGGAGTTCAGCAGGGATGTGAGTGTTCAGTGTACCCCACAGGCCCTCCTTGGGGCTCCTGGCAGCCCGGGGGGCCTCTTAACACAATGCATCTTCCTGGAGCAGACCAGGGTTTCTCTAGATAGGAGGCTGGACTCAAAGCATTGACCTCTCCTGGCAACTTGGTAGAAGTGTAGGTTCTCATGCCACCCTGGGCCTGCTGAACCAAAGGCGCTGCTGGGACAGTGGCCTGGCATCTGGGTGTTGACTAGCCTTCCAGATGATTCCGGCGCACACTACCATGGGAGCTACTGATGGGGACCACGGCTGTGAGGCTTGACTCCCGTGTCTCTATTTTGTGAGCTTGGGAACATTACCAACCTCCCCGAGCCTCTGTATCCCTGGGAAGTCTGGGTCAGGATGTCAGTGTCTGGAATGCCACTGGCCACTGTAAATGTCGTCTCCTTTCCCTTCCCACTTGGGTTAATGTCCATTATCATCAGAAACTGCCTCGGAGCCAGGAGTGGGGCATGCCTATCATTTCAGCGCTCTGGGAGGCTGAGGCAGGAGGATTTCAACTTAGTGGGCAACTTAATGACTTATCAAAACCCTGCCTCAAAATTTAAAAGATTTAAAAAGGGCTGGTGATGCAGCTCAGTGCAAATGTCCCACGTTCAATCCCCAGTATTGCAAAAACAAAACAAAAACCAATCTTGCTGTAGTAGAAAGAGCACTGGCCTAGATTCCAGGGTTGGCTTATGTACTTGCTATTTTTTAAGTATTAGAACCTTTAATAAGCATCAAACAGTGCGTATTTACCAAGAGTATGAAGCTTAAAGCTTTCCATATACCATCTCATTTAATCCTCCCAACAACCACATGAGAAAAGTTCAGGTATCTCTCTTTTAAACCACAAAAGACAGATTCCTTGTGGGTAACCAACTTGATCAAAGGTTGAACAGCTAGATTTCAGAGGTCACACTCTTGACTTCTAGATTGTTCTTGACAAGGCTGAGCCTGACCATCCACAGTCACAAGATGCAACCAGGAAGTGCTGGCATTTGTCCTACACCCACCTAGGTGCTGGACATTGTGTTAGACACGCTATTCTACTCATCCTCTTATGTTTCTGTGAGGTATTATTCCAGTTTTACACATGAATCTACTGAGGTAGGAGGATAACACTCACCTTGAGCAATCATGGAAATGGAAGATAACAATGTATTTTAAACAGCTCTACACAAATCAGCACGTGATTAGTACCTGGTTAGGAAAAGGGCACTCTGTCCCTTAGTGCCTCCTGTGTCCCATATGTCCCAGAAGAATTCCTATGAACTGATGAAAAACCTCAGGGATTTCTCAGATTTGCCCCTTCCACCACTACCTCGTATAGGCAGTCCGAAGGCTTGTGTCTGGAGCCCAGACCATGAGGCCTCCTGGCCCTGGGCAGTACCATGGCTCCCTCCATCTTCTCCCTGGTTTTTTCCCATCACCCCTTCCTGGTCCTCCCCGCCTGCTCATGGGCCATCGGGCCATCAGGCCATGTGGACTGCCACAGCTCTTCTTGGCATGGTCTCATGCTATTTCACCCCTTTATGTTTCAGTACACTCTAATTTTTGATGAACTCCCATGAATCACAGTTACTTTAAAAATACCTACATTCTCACTTTCTCTGTGAATACAGATGAGCTTGGCCTTCCCTCTGAGGTATTGCCCTGTGTGGCATTATGAAAAAGCCTTGAATCAGCTAACTAAGTTCGAGTCCTGGCTTTTTCAGTAAATAATGGTTGACCTTGAGAAAGTCTTTCTCTCTTTGGTACTTCATTTCTCCATATGACCAGTGGTTAGCAATCAGATGTTCCTTAAATAATGTCATGTATGTGTGAGTGCTTTCTGAATTGAAAAATGTAGGTGTTAGTTATTACTTGTCTGGCTCTCTGGTCACCTCCCAGGACAAACCTTCCTCCTTCTTTAGCTGTGCGTTTTCACCCCAGCTTCATGTTAGAATCACCTTGAGAGCCCACTCCAAGATGTTCTGATTTCTCTACTTCTGGGAGGAGCTTCCCAGGTGATTTCATTGGCCAGGCAGCATTGAGATGCTCTGGTCCACCTCAGTGAAGAGGGAGGGAGCCTTAGGAACATTCGTCCCCCTTCCTTCTTCAATGCTTGGTCCTGGTCTCCTCTGTAGGCTTCTCCATGAGGCACTCACCATGTTCCAAAGGCCCAAGCATTTTTGCCGATGAACCTGCCTTTTCTAAAGCTCTGGCCAAACCCTCAACTGGGACATGGTCTTCCTGTTTGTTAGCACAGCAGGCCTTTCTTGAATAGCTTGACTGGGAAACTCAGCCAACAGTATTTTTTACAGATGTTTCATTCTTTTTAATGAAAACCAGCTCCCTCTCTACCTTGGAACATGGAGCCTGCTAGTCATCTCCCTTGATGTGCTGGCAGAACACCCATGCTCTATACACGGCCCAAGCACCACCTCGTCTGCCCACACTGCCACCACACGTGTCCACCTGCTCCTCCTCCCGACTTCCTGTCTCAGCCAGTGACGTCACCATCTCCTGGGTCACCCAGACTGGAAGTGAGACCATGGGGCAATGGAAAGGATGTAGATTCTAGTTTAACCACCTGGGTTCAGATCCTACTGACTGTTGATGGATGATTTAGCCTTCTTGTGCCTCAGTTTCCTCTCCCAGGCAGGATGGATGCTATTCATTCTTATGATTTGTTAAGATTAGATGAGTCAATGCCAAAAGAGCTCACACAGGGTAAGTGAGCAAAGAATGTGAGGCTGCCTTATTTGTATCTTCTCCTTCCCCAAGGCCCACACTCCAAAAAGACTGTGGAACTGGCAGTTTGCACTCTGACATGTTTCTTACCTGCTTCTTCCCTCTCCCAGTCTTTAATTTGTTCCACCCATACTTCTCCCAAGGTCTGCTTATCTCCAGTCATCCTCTTTAACCTCTTCCCCATCATGCCATTTATTTTTTCATTAAATTTATTGGTACATTTTAGGTGTACAATACAGTTACATTCATCATTGGGATCTTGTACCTTTACATGATGTATCTTGGTTCTTACTTTTTCCCCATCCCCCTGCCCTCCCTTCACCCCCTCCTAAATAGAGCTCTGGTCGCATAACTTTAATACTTAAAATTGCCAGCGGCCTCTAGAAAAGAGGCTGAACTGCCTCATGGCCCCTGCCCTGCTGTGGTTCCTGTTGGGAAGACTGCAGATTCCTGGGTGGAGCCACATCCTGTGGGAGTGCAGGGAGACATCCCCAGCTGGCAGGCTCCGCGTCCTGGAGCGTGACTGGGTGTGTGTGTCCCTGACTGTGCATCATTTCAGGGTGGGGCTGTCTTGAACACAGCCATTTGGTTTCTGTCACATGAGCCCGAAACACATGAGCAAAGACTCTTTGAAAACACATTGTTCGTCAATGATTTTAAAATACTTTTCCCTAAAACATGAAGTAGCTTTTTCTAGTAATTTTCATGTACATACTTGGGAAATCTCCCCCATCATGGGAAAGCTACCCAGAAATCGACAGCAAGAATCTGGGGAGGAAAGGATCGGAGAACAGGGGACATCCACCTATTCCCAGCCCCGGCAGATTCACGTGAGTGCTTATTCCTTCATGAAAAATCATCCTGAGGGCTGCAGCTTTAGTGCTTTACCCTCATGCCTCAGCCTTGGCCCTCTGGGGCAGGGGATGGCATGCCAGCTGTTCCTCTCTCTGGGACTTGGGGGGCACATCTAGAGTGTGTATAAAACCCACGGGGGAACTGATTGCCTTCCCTTGGGCCAGCATCTGGCTAAGCAGCTGTTTGGCCACCACTCTGATTTGAAATCAGCTGTAAGATGAGCAGAAGAAACAAGGCACCCGTATGCCCTATGACCCTACACAGACATTCAATTAAATTCCACCAACATTCCTGAGTAATACTACAGGTAAAGGAAGCAGTGGGTTGAAGTGCTTTGATGAAAGATACATTCTGTGATCCCTGTCCTTATCTGTAACTGGAGAGTGCATTAGGTTCAGAGGGCCTCCTCGACACCACGCCAATAGTTACTCCTCCTTCGGAGATCCGCAGGGGAAGGCCAATTTGCGGTGGTTGTCGGGTACCCAGAGCCGGTTTCCTCCCACTATTTCGTTACCTGAGCGCCCTCTAGTGTCCAAAATGGAATATAGCCTATGTAAATGATCACAGCCTGGCCGTGGTTGAATTGAGCCTGCACGGGGAGTAAGACTTAGATTATTGTTTTTTGGGGTTTTTTGGTTTTGTTTTGTTTTGTTTTTGGTACCGGGGCTCGAACTCGGGTCCTTACACTTGCGCAGCAGGCGGCGAAACCACTGAGCTAAATCCCCGGCCCTATTTTTTTTTTTTTGGTACCGGGGATCGAACTAAGAGTTTAATTCCATCCTTGCCACTTGCCAAACTAAGAGGGCTGTCCCACCCCTTTATGCTTCAGTTCTCTCGCCTGTAAAATGAAGACGCTCATGCCTACAGCGTCAGTATTCTTGGAAGCATTAAAGTGTGTCATATATGGAGAGCACACCAGCATCCTAACACAAAAAATTGATCCCCCCCAAAAATATATTATCACCAAAACTCTCAGATACAAACTCACTCGAAGTAAGAAGGATGGAAAAGACTTATGTAGGCACACGTCACTCTGTGTTATGGTCAATTGCTTAAGCTCCATTTCCTTGCCTGGATGGGAGCCAGGGGCACAGGACAGCAAATCTCAAGACATCTTGCAGGGTCTGGCCCGTGCCAGGAGCTCAGGAAATATTGGTTGAGTGTGTGTAGAATAAAGAACTTATTTTTATTCAGCCTTAAACTATTGTGCAGTGTAATAAAGATTTAATGTTTCCAATTATCTGAGCAGACCATCTGGCACTGCCGTAGATTCCAAGGGCTCTATAATTCAACCTTGCCGGGGATTTAGCTCAGTGGTTTCGCTGCCTGGTGCGCAAGCGCAAGGACCCGAGTTCGATCCCCGGTACCCCCCCTCCCCAAATCTATAATTCAACCTTGCTTGGCAACTTCCCTGTCTCCAGAATGCTGTGGCCCTGGAATTCACCTTGGAGTCTCTGTAGATCCGGTCATGAGTATAAAAAAGTGTGATAGAGTCTGGGATGGGGACTCCTGAGCTCTGCGCCCCAGAGAACTCTGGGAAGGAGAGTGTGCTCATGGGATAGGGGTTGAGGGACCTTGGATAATGGGGTGGAAGCCAAGGGCCAGTAGAGGGCCTTCAGAAGTCAGGACCCAAAAGGCTCCCTAGGCTGCCTCTTTTTTTGTCTGCAATAAGAGTGCTGGTCTCATGCTGAATAACCAGAAGGATGCTCAGAGGGGCCAGTCCCATTAACACATTGCTGGATGAATTCCATCACACAATTGAGTCTCTGATCCATCATCTGAATATGTCAGACTACAGTGAAGAACAGGCAGAGACTGTTATGAACATGAACATTTTCTTTATCCAAAAATTATTCTTCTAATACCACAAACCCACAATCAAGAAAAGAATATAAATGAAACAGACAAGTAGATTAGGCTTGCTTTTAAACACAAGAAATATCACAGGAGAAATTTCAACTATGCTAGTACTTTTTAAGGAGCTAAGCCTTGAGACAAAACCTTGTTGTTTTCTGGGTTGTACAATCTCGTCACAAAATAGAGAAGCTGGCTTTGATATTGAGAACTGATTAGCAGCTGGTAGCTACAGATTTATGGGGTGCAACATCTGCTCTTTGTTTAGTATACCTTTAAAGCAATTTTAGGAGATGGAGTCCATAAAAACACAAGTTGCTTGAAATTAACAGCTTCAGAGGGAACTTAAGAGTAGGTCAACTGAAAGTGTCAGGCTTTGCAGCCTTTGCAGATGAACAAATAACCAGATGGGGGTCATGAGATGACTGTGAAGAAGCCCAGGAGGGGACTGGGCCTCTATATCCTTCTCAATCTTGCCATCTATATAGGAGACAAGAGCTGGGACACCTAAGCGGGAAGTCAGGATTCCTTTAAGACAAAAAGTGGGGCTGCACTGAGATCTTGTTTAAAATAGTATCAAAAATAAAATATCAATTTCAACAGATCACCTGTTTGAGAAATCCTATTAAATGGAAGGTGCAGGTAAGTAAGTGAATGATTGTTCCATGGCAGGGACTGATCTAATTGTGGAAATAGAACAGTGAACAAGACTTAGATACATTCTGAGAGGAGGCGGGCAATGCACACATAAAAATAAAGCGAAGTACTGATGTAGAAAATGTCAGTGGAAGGGCTGGGGATTTAGCTCAGTGGTTCTGCCACCTGCCTCGCAAGTGCAAGGTCCTGAGTTCAATCCCTGGTACAAAAAAAAAAAGAAAAAAGAAAGAAAAAAAGAAAGAAAAGAAAATGACACTTGAAGATTTATTTTAAAAATTTTATATTATGAAAACATTTTGGGCAAATACAAAAGTGGAGAGTTTGGGTGAACTCATTTATTCCCCAGATTCAAAGGTATCAATTTTTCCACTTCATTTCATTGGATTTTTCCTTTTCTCCCCCTCCATTTTTCTTCTCCCTCCTCCTCTCTTCCTTCTTTCCCCTCTTCTTCCTCCTCTCCTCCTCCTCTTTCTTCTCTAAAATATTTGAAAACAAATCCCACACGTCATTCATTCACCCCTGAACAGTTTTAATAAGGGCTAGTTTTAGAAAAGGTTTCATTAAATAAATGTATAATTCATAAAATTATAGTTCACTTTTATTGCTGTGTAGTATTCCATTACATGTCACACTTTGCCTATCCACATCATATACAAAAATTAACTGAAAACAAATCATAGGCCTAAATGAAATGTGAAACTATAAAACTCTTACATTAAAATAATAAGAGAAATCATTATGATCTTGCATTATAAAAAAGATCTTTAAAAGAAAAATGATAAACCATAATTCATTCAGTTAAAAACTTTTGTTCTGTGAAAGACCATTAAGAAATGAAAAGTTAAGCCACAGACTTGGAGAAAGTATTTAAAGATCACATATCTGACAAAGGACTTGTACCCACAATATATAAAGAATCTTCAATATTCAGCAATAAGAAAACAATCTAATTTTTTAAATAGGCAAAAGATTTGAGCCTGTACCTTACCAAAGAAGACAGACAAATGGAAATAACCCAAGGTATAGCTGTTTAACATAAGCCCTTAAGGAAATGTAAATTAAAAACCACACATGCTACCACTGAATAGTAGTTAGAATGGCTAAGATAAAAAGTGCTGACAAGGATGCAAAGTAACAGGAACTCTCGAGCAGGGCTTGTAGGCATAGAAAATGGCAGTGGACTGGCACTCCGGAAAAGTCTATTTTTTTTAAAGAAAGTTAAATACATACTTAAACCATAAATCAAATCTGTAAGTATTTATGATAAAGAAATAAAAACTCACATAAAAAACCCATCCACATACATTTATAGTGCCATTATTCATGATTGCCCCAAACGGAGAGATATATAGAGGTTCTTCCACAAATAAATGGATAGGCAAACTGGGGAACATCCATACGATGGGATATTGCTCAGCAGTAAAGGGTGAGCTATTGATACACGCAACACTGAAAGTGGCCAGTCTCACAAGATTACATACTGCCCGATTCCATGTTTATGTGGTGGGTGGGTAAAGGCAGAATTATAGGAACAGAGAACAGAGCAGTGAGTGCCCAGGAGTGGGGAAGGGACCGACTGCCAAAGAGCAGCAGAAGGGAATTATATTGGATGCTGGAATTGTTTTGTATCTTGTTTGTGGTGATGATGACAAGGATTCATGCATGTGTGAAATCTAATAGAAAAATACAACAATAAAAATGAAGTTTGCTATGTGTGAATTTTAAAAATGAATACAATTGACCAGTGATTTCAGGTGTGTGTGCAGCCTGACTGGGCCTCACAACCACCCTGAACTTGAAGTCCTTGGTTAGTAAACCAAAGTCCAGTGTGGGCGGGGGCTCCGGGAGCCACGGGGAGGGGGAGGCTGCCACCCACGAGGGCTGAGAGGTGAGCGGGCTCCACTCCAGGAGGAACCTGTGCTTCTCTAAGATTGCCTGGCTGCTATGTGGAGAAGGGACATCTAATAGTGAATGAGAGGAAAGTGCTTTTTCATTTTAAGAAAAGTGATGAAAAAGAAAAGCAATCAGGGGAGAACAAACAATGAGAACACTGACGTAGAACTGAGGTCGGTCAGGAGGGAGAAGGAAACAGTTTTGCTTTTCAAATGTGCCTTGGCCTTGTGGTTAGTTTCCTTGTTTGGCTGACACCAATGATGCCTTGACGGGAATTCTTCCAATGTGTGTTTTGGGGCCTCCTGTCTCCAAATAAACAAATGTGATATCTTCAAGCTTTTCTGGGGGTCCCAGGTACAGGGTGACGTGATCCAGCCCACAGCAGCCCACAGAGTGCAGCTCCGTCCCTGTTGCTATAAACACCCTACTCAGGGGGCCTGGGCAAGTCTGGACACCTCCCAGAGCTTGTTTCTAGGCTATTCCAACTCCTCACAACAAACAGGGCTTAGCCATGAAGAACGGAGAATCGTGGGCAGGACCAGGACCTCTGACCACAGAAAACCCTGGAAAATGAGCATGGTCAAGGCTGCTGGGAGCCCCACAAATCACCGCTCGAGGCAGCGTCCCATTTGGTGGCTGGAGGTCTCAGAGAGGAGACATTTGACTGCCAGAGAGGTGTCTTGCTGACCAGCAGCAAAAATATCAACCCAGTCCCCAAGCCTGAGTTGACAAAAGTGGCTGCACAGACATTAATCCTGTGTAAAGAAAGAGAGGTTTTAGCCTGAGCGCTAAGTTATGACCTCCTCCCTATTTACTGTTGTGGGGTAGTGGATTTCCATTCAAACGGGCCACTTGCCCTGGTTCCTGAGATGTTTCCACACTTCTTTCCAGCTTTATTTTTTCCTGTTCAAGGCCCTGGTCACCTTTGCCATGGACAAATGTCTCCTCGAAGAAAGGGCTGGGCTGCCCCTGTGGGACTCGCTTGGCCTGAGGACTGCAGCCAAGCCCTGTGGCTCCATTTCAAGTCCCCCTTTCAATGGAAACCATTTGATACCCTTTGCCCACACAGACCTCTTTGAATAAATTCAAACAAAGAGGCGAGTTCTGACTCAGAGATCCCACTCCCCGGCTACACAAACATTGGTAATTACTCTGCTGGGAAAAAATAAAGAGAAAAGATAATAAAACTTATCTTTAATGGGCACCAGGAAACCCAATAAAAGAGTACTGGTTGATGAGTTCCCCAGTTTCCCACGAATGGCTTTTCATGGGTTTGCCACAGCCAAGGATCAAATTTTCAGGGTTAAAATGACACCTGGGAAAACTGAAAACACAAACAAGACCTAACTTGGGAGTCAAGAGAAGTGGGTTCCAGCCATGGAATCTCAGTGGCCCTCACCCTTCTCTGGGTCTCAGTTTCCTCATGTGTAATACTAAAGGCTAGGACACAGTTACGTCCCCAAAACCTGTTCTACCAGGTCAGTTTTCACATGGCTCAGGCTTTCCAAATGGTACCTCTGGCCTTACGGTTTCTACCTTCTGAATTGTGGCAAGTAACTTAGTCAAACCTACCTGTGAGGCCCTGGATTCCATCTCTACTACCTGATAATATTTTTCCTGCCTTTTCTTTGCCAGATATGTCTTTATGTTTATGGGGTGCCTCTGCTTGTATATCTTGCTGCTATCTAGTGATGTGAAAGAAAGGTTTATTTTGGCTCACAGTTTCAGAGTCTTCAGTCCATGGTAAGCTGACTCCAATGCAAAAACATCATGGTGGAAGGGCATGGTAGGGGAAAGCTGCTCATCTCATGGCAGCTGGGAAGCAACAGCAAGGAAAGAGCATTAGAGAGGAAGAGGCCAGGAATCAGATATAGTCCTCAAGGTCACACTCCCATGATCCAGTTCCACCAACTAGGCCCCACCTTATAATAGCCCATTCGGCTATGAACTTGTGAATGGATACCAATTGATGATGTTAGTGCCTTCACAGTCCAGTACCTCTCTAGGAGTCTCTTCATTCAGCCAAGTTGACACTTAAGATTCACTGGCACAATGAAGGAGTGTATAGTATCACCTAAGGGTCATCTTCCTCTAGATTTGGGAGAGGGTATTGTCTCCCTTCCCCAAGATCTGAGTTCCCCTGGCCTCTGTCTCTGAATTCTTTTTTCTTCTGGCAGCTCTAGGTTCTGTGTGGACCACAACTCAGGTCATCAATAGGTGAGTCACCCCAGTTCCCTAGGGTCTGCACAGGGGTCCATGTGCAGGGGAGGTGGGGAACATGTTCCTTCTCTTTTTACAACATTGTCACACAAAAATGAGTAAATATATCTGAATTTACTAAGGGTTGGAGAAATTAGAGGAAGTTCCAAAACACAAAGGAGATCATTTTAAAGGACATCAATACCACTTTTTCTTGTGCTTACAAGGAAAACCATGGAAGAAAGCATGCATTTTGCAGGACACTCCAGGTCATGATCATGTCCCCTTGTCCTCTCAGAGTGACAACCTCCTTCAAACCTCCAGTCTCTGGGTGCTGCTATGATTTGATCATGTCTCCCACAAAGCACATGTTGGAAACAATCCCCAGTATAACAGTATTAGGAGGCAGGGCCTTTACACAGTGATGAGGGTTCTGCCTCCGTGAATGGATTAATGCTGTTATCCTGGTAGTGGGCTCCTCTTAAAATGATGTTTTCTGCCATATTATGATGCAGCCAGAGGGCCCTTGGCGGTTGCCAGCCCTTGAACTTAGCTTTCTCAGCCTCCATAGTTGTGAGCCAATATACTTCTGCTCATTATAAATTGCCCAGCCTGTGGCATTCTGAGAGAGCTGCACACAGTGTCCAACATGCCTCCCCTCCTGTGATGGAGAGACTCCACTCCCCACCTGTGAGAACTGGTCTGTTCCCCCCAGGATCTCCCAACCCATCACTCCCTAAGAATTTGGTTAGTGAAGGCTTAGCTGTTCCATCCAGGATGACACCACAGTAATAAAAAAAGTGGCCTATGGGGATTTCAAAGTCCCTCGGCTGTGGGGGACATGAGGACTCTGTCTTGGTCCTCTTTAAGGTGTCCCCACCAATGTGAGTTGAAAAGAGAGAGACATTTGTATTCTTCCACCTAGACATAGAATAATAGTTGGTGCACGCATATCCTCCCTTGATGACAAACATTAATTTCCAGAAATAGCACTGACTAATCCTAAAGTAGAAAACAAACTTTTCTTTCTCTCAAACTGCTCATGCTTTGCAAGACCACCCCCTGGAGTTTTACTTTACATTCTTTTAGTGATCAGAATGTTTTCCTTTGCTCAATTCCTGCCCACAAATTCCACTTTCAAATTGTGTTCCCTTAGACTGGCCAAGAATGAGAAAAGACTCCTGTTTGCCACCCACTTTTGAGTAATAGCTCCTGAAGCCCCTCAAGGCCCCCTGGAAATTTGGAATATGTTGCTCATAACTGAGAGACAAATAAAGTTCTTAAGTGACAGGGCCAGGCTATTCACCAATTTCTGTCTCCATGTGGTGAGTGAGGAGGTCTGTGTGTGTGTGTGTGTGTGTGTGTGTGTGTGTGTTCTTCCAGTTATAATTGCAATGCAAATCGTGATGTCTGATCCACACTTCCTAATTTTTACAGCACATTTCAATCCTGACTGTGCACTGGAATCACCCGGACAGCTTTAAGGACACAGATGCTTCACCTCTGAACTATGAAATCAGAATCTCTTGGGCCGAGACCTGGCTGTCGTTGCTGTTTGTAGAATCCTGCAGGTGATCGTGCTTTGCGGCCAGGGCTGAGAAGCACTGATATGCAGGTCTAGGAAATTACCACAGCTGGAAAAGGTCACGCTTGCTGAACCGGAAATGAATTCTGCAGCTCGAGCCAACGCTGCTCTATTCACCTCCTTTTACCAAGACTCTGGATGAACTGTCAAATAGAGCAGGGAGTGAGCGTGTTGGGTCCTACAATGTGTTGGCTACAGGGGATCTGGAATGACAGTTACTGCCATCTCAGGGGAAGGTTCCCAGCACCCAGGTAGATCTTTATTTTTAATGTGAAGAGCTGACTGCACTTACTGTGCAGTGTCTGATGCAAAGTGGACTCTCAACAAATACAGCCTGTGTTGAAATAATCATTTTAACTCGACCAAAAGCAGGCAGTTTCCCACTGTGACCACAAGATGACGATATTTCAAAGCTCACTACCAAACAATGCTCAAGCCTCGACTTTGCCAAAATGAAAGGAAGCTATAGTTAAAGCTGGAGAAAAAAGAGAAGCGCAGATTTAGTTTTTCTGGGGTTTTGTTTCTGGTCTGTTATCTTTCTAGATAAGTGCATCGTAAAAATTTAAAGTGTAAAAAACAAGGTGAGAAGAGTGAATTCATGTAGCTCCTTCCTATCTCTCTGGGAAGGCTGAGCCACTTGGTGGACATCTGGGTAAGTCAAGGCAGCATGGAAACGTGGGCCTGGGCCAGGAATTAAGCTGCTGTGTATATAAGGACAGAAAGTGGCCCCAGCTCAGTTGCTCTGCCAGTAAATCCTCTGCCAGAAAGCATGTTTCCAATTCACCCTGTTCTGTAGTTTCCCCACCCAAATGGGGAGTTTTGGAAACCTACAAAAACACTGTTAGGTGTGGATTAATTAGTAAGCCCTTGGGGAACAAGCTCCTTTGGGGAAAACTGGCCTTGGATTGGGGAAGTTGGTGGGATTTCTGGTCCATGTGCTGGGTCCTGGGGAGAAGGCAGAGTGAGAGCTCATGACCAGCTTTTACTGATAGGCTGAGGCCTGGGGCCTTGTGTGCCCTGGGCAGAGAGGAAGAATATTGCCAGAGAGGCT